ATCATCATTATTATTAACACTTTGATGGTAATAAATTTACGATCAAGATCATCGTTATTATCATCATTATCAATTTTGACGTTCACATAAACGAACTAGAAAAAAAACGAATTTTAACTTTGAAAATAATGATGATCATTATCAATATCAAATAGTTTTGTCTGGTTTGTTTGGTTTTGGTTTGTTATTTTGTTTGGTTTTTGTCTCGTTGATGGTTGAAGGAATGCTAAAAACAAACTAATAATATCCATAAAATTTCTTTTTTGTAAATTTTCCACAAAAAAAAAATTCCGAATTCAAAAAAAAATCGATTCAGTGATTTGTTTGAACATCCACAAAATGAGTAAATTTGTTTTTTTTTTTGTTTCTACCAATCGATTGATCGATTTGGTCGTTATTATTATTTTTGTCCAATAAACTGTTCGATAAATAGATCAATCCAATTCAATTCATGTAGATATCCATTTATTATATAATCTATCCAGTGGTATTGATTGATTTTTGCTTGTTGTCGTTTTTCAAAACAACAACAATAACAATGATGATCAAATCAAATTAATTTTTTTCTGGTTGGTCGATTTACAAGATGTTGTTTTTGTTGTTTTGTTTTGTTTGGAATTTTACAAACAAAATAATTGACTTTTATAAAATTAAAAAAATTTCGATTTTCCGGACTAGAATATTATCGTTATCAATTTTTCATTTCATCTACATTCGACATACAGAGAGAATATTCATAAATCAAAAAGATTTTGGATTTAATTTGATCAAGATAACAGAAGTATGAAAAAGATGAATTATCATCATTATTAACTTTGATTTAAATCAGGATTATCATCATCATTTTCATAACCAAAATCAATCAATCAAAAAAAAATGTGTGAAACGAAAAAGGCAAATGATAAACTTGAGATTGATGATGTGTTTAAGTTTGCCATTTTTTTTTAATTTTTGAAAGCATTCACCCAAAAGGTGAACACTGTGTTAATTGATAAAAATTTTTTTGTCAAAGTGGAAAAAATCATCAGATTTTTTCGTAATTTAATTTTTTCAACGAAAAAAATTTTCAGGTTCATTGATTGATTCAATTCAATTCAATTTATTGAAAAACGTTTATCCGAAATTTCGGATATTCACGTCAAATAAAAATTTTTAAAATTAATTTTAAAATTTAAAAAGAAAGTGTGTGTAGATGTGTGTAAATAAGGTTCATTGATTGAGGTGAAAAAAAATGAAATTCGTAACATCAATCGTAATTGAATGAAACACGCAATCCTTTGAACACGATTTGAACTTGAAATGAAATTAAATCTTTAAAAAAAAATTTAAAATTTATAAGCATGGGAAAATTCTTTTGTAAAGTTTTTTTCCAAAAATAAAACTATATCATCACGATTGCTGCTGCTTTTTAGATAATAAAACTGGTGATAGACAGATGAATTTAGAAATGATGATTTACATTCAACAACATCTTGTCAAATCCCATAAGTAGAGAAAGAAAAGCAAAAAATTCAAATGATCAAAACCCATAACAAATAAACAAACAGAACGAAAAAAGTAACCAAAAGATTAAAATTCCCTTCACTTTACAATAAAACGATGCTGATTACATCAGTTTAATATCGACACTTTACACTGACAACAAGAAAGAAAGAAGGAAAATTTAACCACTTTCAAACCACATAGTCAAAAGAAAAAAAAGTAATCACGTTATTTAATTCTTTCGTACTTTCAATTTAGTCTATTTATGACGGCGATGATGATGATGAATCCTGTCAAAATAAGTTGAAGGGTAATTTCTTTTCTTTTCTTTTCTTTCCATAACATCTTTGTCGTTTTTTATTCATCTTTATCAAAGCGTAAATGTGTGTGTGTGTAACTACGGTGTTTTTGATTGCTTCAAATCTAAATTTATTATAGCCAGATGAAAAAATTTTTGATAGATTCATTTGCGCTTGATTGCGTTTAGCAACATCAACATCATTATTTTTAATTGAATTCAATTTACGAATTTAGGAAAAGACGAAAAAAGAAAGGTGATGTGATTAAAGTTTTTTTCTTTTCAGGCATTTTTTTTAAATGTATAAAACAAGATTGGTTTTTTTTATATAAAAGAGTGGAGGGTTAAAAGAAATAAGGAAGATTTTTTTTAACAAGTTAAAATTCCTTTGAAAAAAAGAATTAAAATCTGTCATCTTTTTTTTCTTGTGTTTTTTTTAATTATATTAAAACAGATTAACCTTTTTTTTTGATGTTTTCATGGGTTAAAAACATTTATATCAACAAAACAGTCAAATGAAATGACCGAAAATGATTTTACGGTTATATCGGTTGTTTTCAATCGAATTTTCTGAGAAAAAACCAACACCTTTACTAAATTGTCATCATTGTTGTTTGATTGTGCGCAAATGTCGTGAATTTTGTTTTTTTACATGAAAATTACGTTCGTTTTATGAGACAACAACAACAACGAACATAATTCCTGAATGACACAATAAATAAAGTGCAATGAAAAAAAAAATGTTTGACAACAACAACAAGTCAAACACATAATGATAATGACCACGAATATATTCGTTGATAGATAAGTAATGATGATGATAATGATTTAGATCACAGAAAAAAAGGCAAAACGACAACAACAAAAATTTTGATGGGTCATTATTATCACCATCATTATTATTATTCAATGGCCCAACAGTAACATTTTGCAATTATTCTTTTCATATTTTTGTTGTTGTTGTTGTTGCTTTGTGGAGTGATGTATTCAAAAAACAAAACAAAAAACAAGAAACATTATTCTATTTGACAAGAGGAAATG